GTGACAGAGAAAAGAGAAAATGTACTAGAACCTAATCTCTTCTTGTATTCCTCCTGAAACTGCTTCCCTTTTTGGTAGGCGGTGCTTTCTACACAACATATAAAAATATTATGGCACCTTCTTAGCAGATAAAAGATTTTCCTATTTTTAAATTAACCTTGAACAGGTCTATATAATTGCTGTACAAAGACATAAAAACCACAAACAGACTTTCAAGACTATCACCTATTTAGAAGAAAGTGTCAGAAATGGATCATATTCATCAAATGGACTACTTGACTTAGTCTACACAGATCTCAGCACGCTAAGCAGACTCTGGCTTGCTGCGCTTCAAGATTTTGCTCTCTTAACTTTGCCTTCAGAATTTGCCTCCCAACTTCCTGCTGAGGGTAAGGAGGTAACATATTTAGATAATTCCTCGAGTAACAGTAACTTATATTTTCAAAATTTCTTCTTTAGCAGGTAACATTTATCTGAAACATTTTCCCCAGAATAATTTTCACTCACAGGATAAGCACGCAAGAGTTGCTTTAGGGGCACCCAGAATTTGATTCACAAGATCATAAGGCATGTACATCTTACCTCACAATATACTGCCAAATTACTCTCTAAAGAGGTTATAACGGTTTATACACCCACCCGCAACATGTTTCAGTTTCTGCATACCTTCCCAACATGATATATTATCATACTAAATGATTTTTGTTAACCCGATGGGAATAAAATAATATTTCATTGTTTTATTTTGTTATTTCCTCAATTGAAAATCTTTAAGTTGCTTTTTTTTTTTTTTTGAGACAGGGTCTCACGTTGTTGCTCAGGCTAGCATGGTCATAGCTCACTGCATCCTCAAACTCCTGGGCTGTGCTCAAGCCGTCCTGCTGTCTTAGCCTCCTAAGTAGCTGGGACTACAGGTGTGCGCTACCATACCCAGCTGATTTTTCTATTTTTTGTAGAGACAGGGGTCTTACTATGTTGCTCAGGCTGGTCTCTTAACTTCGAGCCTCAAGTGATTTTCCCCTAACTTCTAGCCTCAAGCAATTTTCCCTCCTTGGCTTCCCAAAGTAGTGGGATTATAAATGGGAATCACCACGCCCAGTGACTACCAAATAACCAACCCATAAAATGCAGTATTAGTAACTATAAAAATTAGATCCCTATCTCCACTCCACACATACAAAGTAAATTCCAGTTCTACTAAAGGTCAAAATGCCAAAGGTAAAACGGATAGATCTTTATGATCTTAAGTAAAAAAATGTGTCAGGTAATACACACAAACACAAACCATAAATGACTGATTACATTAGTTTTAAAAAGGTGAGAGGAAGGACAGGCTATAGACTGGGAGAGAATATCTGTAAGGCACGCAACCACAAAGGAATAGTATTAAATTATATACATAAAGGATTGATGAATCAGTAAGAAAATGACAAACAGCAAATAGCAAATGGACAAAGATTATGATTAGGTTATTTATGGAAGAAGCAACTTCTATATTGTACTTTTTTTTTTATTTCAGCATATTACGGGGGTACAGATGTTTAGGTTACGTATATATTGTACTTTTCAATGGCATAAAAATGGAAACAAAACGGAAATAAACAGATTTATTGATATAGTTTAACAATAAAAATGAATGACAGACATATATCAACATAAGTAAATCTCAAAGACATAATGTCAGGTAAAAAACAAGTTCAAAAAGAATGCGTACAATATGATGCCTTTTAAGTAAAGTTTTAAACACTAAAAAATAGCTTACATTGTTAATGAATGTGTACATTATTGTAAAAGTATTAAAATCATTGTTGATGATTCACACTGACTTAAAGTGGTAATAAAAGGAGGGGCAAGGATTTACTGTTGTAACAAAGGTTTAGGTTTTTTAAGAAAAAAATAAGGGGAGTTTAAGAAAATAAAGCCAGGTGTGGTGGCTCGAGTCTGTAGTCCCAGCACTTTGGGAGGCCAAGCCAGGAAGATTGTTTAAGGTCAGGAGTTTGAGACCAGTCTGGGCAACATAGCAAGACCCTGTCTCTACAAAAAGTGAAAAAAAAAGAAAAAAAATTAGCCAGGCATGGTGGTGTGCACCTGTAGTCCCAGCTACTCAGGAGGCTGAGGCAGAAGAATCACGTAAGCCCAAGAGGTCGAGGCTGCTGTGAGCTATGATTGCACTGCTGCACTCCAGCCTGGGCAATAGAGCAAGACCCTATCTCTAAAAGAAAGAAAATAAAAGAAGGCAAAATGTTAATGTCTGTCTTCGAAGTGGATAAATGGCTATTGGTATTTGTTTTAAACACACATATACACATATTTTGTTTTAAAATATTTTATTAATAAATTATAAAAGCAGGTCTTTCTCCATTCCTGGAGAATTAATATAATTAATTATATATTAATTGATTATAAAAGCTTAAGAATTAGCTTGCAAGGGCGGGGCACAGTGGCTCATGCTTGTAATCCTAGCACTGTGGGAGGCTGAGGCGGGAGGATTGCTTGAGCTCAGGGGTTTGAAACATTCCTGAGCAAGAGTGAGACCCAGTCTATACTGAAAATAGAAGAAAAATTAGCTGGGCGCAGTGGCAGTGCCTGTAGTCCCAGCTACTTGGGAGGCTAAGGATCACTCAAGTCCAGGAGTTTGAGGTTGCAGTGAGCTAGGCTGATGCCGCTAGCTGGGGCAACAGAGTGAGACTCTGCCTCAAGAAAAAAAAAATTAACCTGCAAATTCCTTACAAGTTAAAGGTAGATCAGCCTTATGACCCAACGGTTGTATTCCTAGGAGAAATAAAAACATTGATAACAAAATATTGGTAGCATAGCAGCATGAATGAATGTCTAAAAACATTTGTAGGCCAATAAAAAATCAGTCACAAACAAATATATACTGTATATATGATTCCATTTATATGAAATCCAAGAACAGGCAAAACTAATCTATGCTGATAAAAATCAGGAAGTAGTTGCCTTGGGGTATAGAGGAATTACTGAAGAAGAGTACAAAGGAACTTTCAGAGTGATAGAAATGGTCCATAGCTTGTGACAGAGAAAAGAGAAAATGTACTAGAACCTAATCTCTTCTTCTATTCCTCCTGAAACTGCTTCCCTTTTTGGTAGGCGGTGCTTTCTACACAGCAGAGACTAGTGAAAATGCAAAGTGGCATTATTACAACTCCTGGGCACTTATCCTCCATGCTACAGCATTGTGGCTTACAAGCACAGGCTTTGTTGTTGCTGACCCAGATGAAGGAGCATCTGATCTCTCGAGGCCTGTAACACCGACTTCCATGTGTCAGGGCTCGTCATCCGGGGCTACAGTAAAGTCTCCTGAGGATGTCTACACTGATAGATTCTATCTTATTTTAGGTCAGTAAAAGAGCTTACAAGCTTACACTTTACAGGGGTTATTCTTAAATTTTGCCTTGCTGCCTCTTTCCTCTTGATGGCTGTCACTTTATTCTTTGTTAGGTGTTAGTGATTGTCTTGATATGTATACTGGGTAAACTTGTATACATTTTGTAAAATGACAAGTTTGATTATTTTTAAGTCTAGAACCCTATCACAAGTTGACTTTTGCATCAAGTCGAATCAATTATAGAAATTGTAGGAGAAACCTAGCTCTTTCCCACATGATTTTTAAAAGCTCCATGTGGTATCTCCAAATGTTCTGAATTTCTCAGTATATATATTAAAAAATACCAATATACTGAGGAGTTTTCCCCCTTGTTCTCAAGGATTGCAAGGTTCTAAAAAGTAGTTCAATAAAAGATAAAAGATTACTAAGATTTTTAGATTTATGAAATTTAACCCATTTTTAGCCTTCCTGAAACTTCATTTTTTAAAGTGAAATGTCTTCCTGAGATAACACAGTAAGCTTCTACAATAAATGGAATAAATAGTTTTCCATATTTAACCTAGTTCTGAGGAAACAAACTATAAGATCATTACCTATAAAGAAGTTATTGATTAAATGAAATATGAGTGTCATACAGGCAAAAGATTAAATTAAGATTTATGATTCATAGAACTTCTTTTATTATTCATTCCTAGGCTAGACATGACCAGATTCCTCTATCATTGAGTATATTAAAAATTTATTTCCAGTTGCCTTAGGATGACAGCTTTTTAAAAACAAACTTATAGAATGAAGGATTGTAGAGTTATTATGAGCACAGGTATTCAGTTCAGCTACCTGACTTCAAATTCTTGATGTGCACCATTGTGACTGACCTTGAACAAATTAAATTACTCAAGCTCAGTATTATTATTTGTTGATTAAAAATAAATTTTTAAATAAATAAATAAATTACTTAAGCTCTATGTGCTCATTTCTGTCTGAAATTGAGTAGTAATCATAGCGCCTACTTCATCAGTTATTATGAGTATTTAATAGAATCATACATGTAGAGCACAGTGCCTGATACATGATAATCACTCAATAAATTTTAGACAATATAAAGTTATGAAACTGTATGTTAAGTTCTCTGGCACAATTTTATTGTAATTTTTGCATCTTTGAACTATTTCACAGCAACTAAGCAACTGGTGTACAAGCCCAGTTGAGATTGTTCTTTGTGTATGTGTAAATGAAAACAGTTAAGGAACTTGCCTTATCACCTAATTGTTTAGAGTCTTAAATTCCTTGTGATTTATTTCCATTACTATTTTGCTAAGCTTATTTGTGTATCTTGTCAAAATAGAAGATTAATTATTTAACTGAGAATCTCAAAGAAGCCTCTTTCTCTTTTTCGCTTTCCACAGGAATCAGTGTGGAATTTCTGTGTTCCTTACGCTCAGATGCAACCATGGAAAGCATTACTGCTTGTTTACATGCATTACAGGCACTTCTAGATGTTCCTTGGCCCAGGTCTAAAATTGGCAGTGATCAGGTGATTTCTTGGGTTTTTTTGTAAGGCTTCTGTAGACTTGAAGGAACAGAAACATGTTCAGGTTACTACAACAAACAGAAGGTGAACACGGAGAAACAAAGAAAACTAAACAGCTGCACAGCTAGGCCTTTGAACCAGAATGCCATCAGCATATGTGGTGACCCAGGCACAATCATGCCTCTGACTGTGCCACATTCTTTCTCTGCTTCTTTCTGCAATGATGGAAAGGTTCTATATTGCATTGTCCAAAACAGTAGCCACTAGTTATATATGGCATTAATCCTTTGTCTCTTCCTGCTTCTGTGCAGCCTGCTCTTTGTATATGTCTGTATCTTGTATTGCATTTCCCCTGGAGAACCTAATTGGTTCGTGTAATTACTGTTCATTGCAAAGTATTCTTGTTGGCTGAGTTCTCCCTCCAGGTCTTGTTAAGAGACTGCTGCCTAGCCTATAGGTAGACTCAGGCACTAAGATCTGACTCAGTAGTGGCCATGGTTAAAAGGATTGCTGTACAAAATATGGCACTTCCTTTGACTACTTTTCTCAAGGATAAGTATGCATTTGAGCAGATACTCTTAGCATCATGTTTTATCCAGTATGTTACTTTTGTTATCATTGACTCTTAGGTATTAAGATAAATGGGTAGTATGATTTTCTCTCTACGTAGACTAGCTATTATTTAAGTGTTTAACACTAACATTTATTAGGTTTAAAGCATGAGGTTCCTACCTGACTTGCATTGGACTTGCACGAATCTTAAACTCTTTGTATTTACTTTCTCTGTATGTTTAAAACAAGTATTATAATGACAGTCTTACTCTGTTATTTTCAAAGAAGAAAGAAAGCATCCAGTGTAATCAATAAAAAAGAGAGAATGGAATGGTATTTGTCCAATGTATTTTATTCTTTGAGAACTATCCATTCTATCTTATTATTTTACAATCCACTTTTAATGCCATAGTTCTCTTTCATTTGTTATTATTAGTAAAAAACCTTAATATAAATCTAGGAATCAGCCAGGTGCTGTGGCTCACATCTGTAATTCTGCACTTTGGGAAGCTGAGGCAGGAGGATTGCTTGAGCCCAGGAGTTTGAGCCCCGCCTAAGCAACATAGCAAGACCCCATCTCTACAAAAAATAAAAAAAAATTAGCCGAGCCTGGTAGCACATGCCTGTACTCCTAGCTACTTCGGAGGCTGAGGTGGGAAAGAGACCCTGTCTCTTAAAAAAAAAAATCTGGGAATCTACATGTCAGCCCTTGTATTATTTTAGCCAAATTTCAGATGTTGTTTTGGAAGGTCCCTTTTCTGTTTTCCCAGTTTAGTACCTGTGTGAAAATGATCTTTTGTGATAGTGCCATCTCCCACAAGATTTGCCAATAAATAATCTGGGGTTGATTTAAAGTGGAGCAAGTGTTACATAACTTCATTGCACTAACGTCTTTATTTTTTATTAGTAATTTGTTGTATTCTTTTTTTCTGAATTTTGTCATGGCATTTAACATGGGTATTTTTTACCAAAAAAAAAAGTATAATTTCCAAAACAGTGTCCCTTACATATTTTCTGTGATAGGACTTGGGTATTGAGTTGCTGAATGTGCTACATAGAGTAATTTTGACCAGAGAATCGCCTTCCATTCAATTGGCTTCACTTGAAGTGGTAAGGCAGATTATCTGTGCAGCTCAAGAACACGTGAAGGAGAAAAGACGAAGTGCAGAAGGTAAATGTTAACCCTTAATGCCAAATAGCATTATTATTTTTTAAAACATTATTTAATATATCTTTGTAGTTTTGATAATGTATTTTGTATAGTAAAAATGAAGTATGTCTAGGAATGGCTTTACATCCTCCCATTTTCATTCACCTCTACATGTTAGCTTGGATATTATCAGTAGCTAAACTACAATTCTTTGGGAAAATAAGAATTTTAGCAAAACCTGGGAGAAAAAAATTCCTTGTACTCCTAGAGTACTCGCTTTACCTATGTTTAGCAATGTACAAAGAACTACTGACACTTTTCGATGACTTATTTTTGTGAATTGCTCATTAACAAGTCTAATATGCTATTGGTGAGTTTATCATTTCATATTACATTTGACTACATATAATAGAAAACAGTGGATTTAAACCACAAAGATTTATTTTCTCATCTCAAAGGAAGTCCAGAATGAGGTAATCTGGGGCTGGTATGGCACCTTCTTAAAGATATTGGGGACCTAGGTTTCTATCTTTCTTCCCAGCCACTATCAATACCTATGGTCACATTGTCACTGCTGGAGCTCCAGCTGTCAGGTTTACATTCTTAACAGCAAGGAGTTAGCCAAGCAATATTTTAAGGCTGATCAAGTTACAAAGATCTCTTTTGATCCATTGCAATAAGAAGTCATAATAAAGGTGACTACTTTTACCTCCATAACTGCTTCCTCACTCAATCTTTAATAACCCACAACTTTAGTCATTAAATGTGTTACCTATAACAGAAATTAACTAAATTGCCATGTACCAGAAGCAAAGCAAGCACAAAGTATTTATTAAACACTATTCTTTCTGTCTTTTAGTCGATGATGGGGCTGCTGAAAAGGAAACCCTGCCAGAGTTTGGAGAGGGAAAGGACACAGGAGGACTTGTGCCTGGGAAGTCTTTGGTCTTTGCGACACTGGAATTGTGTGTATGCATTCTAGTTAGACAGCTCCCAGAACTCAATCCTAAATTGACAGGTAGCCCAGGAGTAAAAGCTACAAAGCCACATGTGTTGTCAGAAGATGGAAGTAGATTGGTTTCAGCTGCGTTGGTCATTCTCTCTGAACTTCCTGCAGTGTGCTCTCCTGAAGGTATGCTGTGGTATATGATTGCTTGACTTAACATGGAAGGAGAGAAGTGGTTTTAATAGATAATGGAGCCTAGTTGCTAATCTTTGTCTCATTAAATGAATACTAACCCAAACATTTGGGTATTGTCTTCTATCCTGTAAGATTAGGATTACATTCTATATAGTAATTTTTTTTACTAAAAGAGTGAAAATATAGAGACAGCAAATACTATAGATGGATATCCTCTTCTATGATTGACAATATTTTAAACCAAGCAGTGGCAAGTATTAGCTCTTGGACATTTTTTGGTATATAATATCTTATGGACTTTTCCTGCCTCAGTGATGACACAAGTTTGTCTTCATATCCACTTCTGTTTGGAATTTAGTCCATACTCTTTTAACATAGTATTTATGGTTCTCCATACAGCTCTGCTGAGTCATTGCCTTTTCCTGATGCCTTCTGTCTGCAAATGCTAAACCCAGGAGGCTGCATGTTCATCCTTGTTCTGGGCTATTCTCCATATTGTCACTTGATTTGAAATGACCCTTCTCTGCTTAAAATTTTTTTCTTCCTTCAAAGTTTAACTTCAGGCCTACCTCATCTGTACAGGCTTCCCTAAAAACTCTAGCTCATATGAGTTTTGTCTTTTCGTGTATATGCATAGGTTATTTCTATATGTAGGTCTGTAGCTTTTATCTGTCATATAGAGGCATTATATGTTGTTAGGTTTGTTCCAGGTGGAACAAAGTGTGCATAGGACGGAATGCGGTTAATGGAAAACTTAGGCTTGTAAAACAATAGCCACAGGAGTCTGGAGAGTCCCCGGACGTTGTAAATCTAATAGACATCTGCAGCCAGCATTCCTATCCCCCCTGATAAGGACAAAGCTACCCCCCTCCCTTATCTCTACAGGATGAGACTGATGCAGGGGTCCCAGAAATTGGTTGTTTAAAAAAATGTATTATAGTGGCTGTTCTGACCCAGGTACTCATTTCCCCCTGAGAAACCCTCTATAAAACCCAAGGCTTTCCCCTACCTCAGTGTGGACTCTCTTTGGCTTCACCCAGATGCTCAAAATAAACAGCATTTTGCTACACATGAGGCTTCATGTGTCTCTCTTTTGGCTCCAGACCTAACATATGTAATTGACTATCATAGATAGAAGATGAAAATATATAGAGATGTGTGTGTCTTGTTTCCAACCAAATTTTATATGCTGTCTGAAATCTAGCACATAATAGGTATTTAGAATTTAATAATACTTCTTATAGCACAGTGGCTCACGCCTGTAATCCTAGCTCTCTGGGAGGCCGAGGCGGGTGGATTGTTTGAGCTCAGGAGTTCGAAACCAGCCTGAGCAAGAGCGAAACCCCGTCTCTACTAAAAATAGAAAGAAATTAATTGGACAGCTAAAAATATATAGAAAAAATTAGCCGGGCATGGTGGCGCGTGCCTGTAGTCCCAGCTACCCGAGAGGCTGAGGCAGTAGGATCGCTTGAGCCCAGGAGTTTGAGGTTGCTGTGAGCTAGGATGACGCCACAGCACTCTAGCCCGGGCAACACGGTGAGACTCTGTCTCAAAAAAAAAATACTTCTTATAGGTAAGTATATTCTGCTCAAATGTGTCCTGACCAATTTATATACTATCTTATTTACAGCTTCATGACTTGAAGCTTCAATTTGAATTAAAACCTACACTCCTTGTTCTCACACTGTCTTACACCAGAAGTGGCAGGAAAAATGACTAGCAGAGAATTAGGGGTAAAAATAAACCATATGAGTTTTATTGAGTATCTTCTAAGAAAATTAAATTGACCATTTTAGCTTTAGTTTCTTTGCTTATATTTTAAACTTATAACTGACTTTTCAACTCCTTAGTGGGCATGAAAACTTAATATTTTATACTGAGTGGATCTCCCCAAATTTCTTGAAAAAGAGTTTAATATCAAATATATTCAAATGGATAGTGGTGATAGTTGCACAACAATTGTGAATGTACTTAATGCCACTGTATTGTGCATTTAAAAGTGGTTAAAATGGTAAATTTTATGTTATATATATTTTACCACAGTAAAAAATAATCATTTGTCAACTGCCAAGTAAAACAACAACAAAAACATACTGATACTAAGTGATTCAATTTAAATAATATCTCTAATTATAACCATCAAAATTTAATCTAAACTTAAAATCTTAATAAAGTCACTTAAATTATCTTAGCAGTTATACTCCTTTATGAAAAATAATCTTGGGGTGGGGGGAAAAATAATCTTAAAAGCTATAGAAATCTCTGACATTGTCTTACTCATTGATGATTTCTTTTTAGGAACTGTGTGTGTGTGTGTGTGTGTGTGTGTGTGTGTGTGTGTGTGTGTGTATGTTGAAATCCAGAGTGTTTTTTAAAAATGTATCTTACAGGAAGCATCTCAATTCTCCCTACTATATTGTACCTCACAATTGGGGTCCTCAGAGAGACTGCTGTGAAGTTACCTGGGGGCCAGTTACCTTCAACAGTTGCAGCTTCCCTGCAGGCTCTAAAAGGAATATTATCTTCTCCCATGGCCCGAGCAGAAAAGAGCCAAACTGCTTGGACTGACCTTCTCCGAAGTGCTCTAACAACAGTTCTTGACTGTTGGGATCCAGGTAATTAAGGCTGTTTAGAAGCAGTTGTTCAGTTTGTTTTAAAAAGTGAGAGGAACAGTTTTCTGAGGATAAGCTATTTACTTGATCATGTTTGGCCATCTAACCTAGAGATGAGTGAATATGGTGAATATTGATGACTCACTGTGTATTGAGAGGATACATATAAGTAGATAGATAGAAAACACCAGTGTTCTCATTTTAGTATCTTTAACCTTTAATGCAATTAAATGACAGGCAGCCTATACATTAAGTTGACAGTGGAAGACTTTCAGATATATGTTTATTTAAAAATGTAATATGATCCATGTCTAGCTAACAGAACTTTTTAATACAATATACTGAAATGTGCATAAGCCATACATTTTAAATATAAAATAAGACTAATCTGGTTAATTACTCCAGCATTTACTATTAATAGCTAAGTGACTAGCCAAGTTCCCAATTTTTTTGAGCCTTAGTTTTCTCATTAATAAATAAGAATGTTACTTTGCAGAAATTTTTAGAGTGGTAACATACGTCAAAAGCATCTTACTGATTACCTGGCATATATCAATACATGATAGCCAGTATTTTCAATATCCATTAAAATTTGTTTTTCTCCTTTCTTATTGTTGTGTGGTTTTTATTTTCAACAGTATGTTATAGTGATTGTAAAAAGTGATTGTAAAAAGATATATTATACATTATCCCTGCCTTCCTGCTTCTGTTAATGTCCCAATTCACCATATTTGGTTTCATATGTTAAAAGTTTTCAGTTGAATTCAGCATTTATTGACCACCCACTTCGCCCAAAGTTGGGAGTCTAATGGCATCTGGTTCCTGTGAATTGTGGTAGGGTGTGATTAATACCATAAGGAGCTCTCGAAGGCAATAATAGTGTCTTATCACTGCATTTGTAGTGTGATAAAAAGGATACTAACTGGCAAAAAAAATGTGAGTAATAAGCACTGAGTAAATTAGTTAGTGTCACAAGTAGGGTTCTCTAAAAGCACACTCTTAGATGGAGTTTGGGGAGCAAGAAGCGTATTAAGGAACAACATCTGTGAAGAAAAGAGAAGGCAATATTGGGCAAAAGAAGTCAAACTGTAATGCACTTCCCTAACAAATCTCAGCGAACCTCTCAAGAGAGCTCTGGAGTGAGATTGCCCATCAGAGTGTCTTATATATGACAGAAATGGCCTGGCCTTCATACTCTAACCTCAGATGTGGGCTGCCCCAGGAAGGATTTGATCTCAGGCGAGGCAGCTCTCTATAGCTGAAGCTGACCCTCAAGGAGCTGATAGCTGATCACACGCCTCACAGCTGGGCAGCACATTCTCTCTTAAGGGGGATCTCAGTGGTGCATCTCTGTATCTACCACAAGAGCCTTCTCAGAAGAGTCAATTTCTTAAAGGATTAAAAAGCTTTCTCCACATGGACATCGTAGAAATGATGATCAAAAACCTGGAGACCTAAATATTATGGTACATTTAGGGACAGTGAGTATAGCAATGAGAGTGTGGGTTTAGGGGAAAGAGTAGGCAGGTGGCGAATTAGTGGGGAAAGAAACAAAGTTGGACGGTGTATGGGGCCAGATTATGGAGGGTTGGGCATGATTTGTAATTTGGACTGCCTTTAATTGGCATGTGGGATCATAACAGGCTTTTTAAGAAGGAGAGTAATGTGATAGGATTTGCATTTCTAAAGGATCACTCTTGGCAGCAGCATAAAGAAAGCCAAACTGTTGGAGATAAGAGCAGTATGGATAAAGAGGAGTGGAATGATGAAAATAAAATATTAAGCAATTTTCAACAGAATTTACTGATAGTTTGATTTAGAAATTGGAAGGGTAGGGTAACTTGAGCACCTCTGGTGCCATTAACAGAAATAACCAAGTAAGGGTTTTCAGGGGAAGATAGTGAGTTGGGATAAGTCGGATAAGTGACTGTCGGATAAGTGAGTGGGGCAGATGTATACAGGTGTGGAGTTCAAGAACGTGGTCTGGGCTAGAGATAATTTTGTAGTACACGTATTTGAAAGTTGTCAGCACAAGCTATAGGATAATGAAATCACCTGACATGAGTTTATGGAGCAAGAAGGGACTAAAATCAAGGTGAGAGGAGATTCAGAAAATAATGTAGTCATAGAAGTCAAGAAAAGATAGTTTTAATAGAGAAGGAGTGGTCAGGAGTATAAAAATACTATAGAGAAGCAAAACAATATGGGGGATAGAGTTCACAGTGTTGAGGTAACAAATGAGAGGTAAGGAAGGAAAAAGATCAAGTATAGGCTCTTCTTGACAAGAAGAAGAGAAATAGCTGAAGGGAAGGTGTGGGGTTAAGGAATAATTTTTTTTTTTTAAAGGCAAGACTCTAGCATGATTTCATACAGAGGAAAAAAAAGGGAGAGATGGGATTGAAGTAAGAAGTATTAGAGAGGAAAGCAGCATCCCTGTCTAGGCAGAAGGAGTAAAATTTACAACACATTTAGAAGGATTAACCTCTGCCAGTATGAGGAAAGAACAGGAGGTAAGAATGGAAAACAATACATTATAAGTTTTTATGTTAAGCGTTATGATGAGCTTGTCTCTTTCATCACACACCGAAAATGGGTTTTTTGGTTGTGTATCAGTGAACGAGGCTAGAACAGGATTTAGACTAGCTACTGAGAGAAATTAGAGGAGCTGATCATGACAGCTGCATAACACATTGCCCCAAAACTTAGTAGCTTAAAACAGCAAGCATTTGTTATCTGACAGTTTCTGTGGGTCAGAGATTGAGAAGCAGTTTAGCTAGCTGGTTCTGGCTCCCGGTCTCTCATGAGGTTACTGTTAAGATGTTGGCCAGGGTCAGGTCAATATTTTAACCCAGAACCCATCTATCCAGCTTCTTTACTTTGCCGATTTGTTTCAAATGGTTCAATATTGTTGGAATAGTAACGTCAAACTTTGCTGCTAATTCACGTGTAGGTTGAGGTGGATTCATTTCCACTACAGCTTTCCGCTTATCATTATCCACCTTGGTCTGAGGTTGCCCACGTAGCTCATTTTCAAGATGAAAATCACCAGAATGGAACTTTTGAAACCCCATCGATGTACTGTGTGTTCAATTAGCAATATCCTTCCCAAACACTTTGTTGATACTTCTGAGCTATCCGTGCTGCATTGGTTCCACAATGGAACTCATAATCGAAAATAACACGAATTTTTCACTTATCCATGATTTGATAAGAATTGCTCCAAGAATTTTTTTGAAAGATAATCACAAGCTAAAATGTGCATTTGAAAGACTGAGGATGTACCTTTACAATAAAAATAAAATGAGAAGTGTCAAAGTGAAATGTCAAGAGATATCGACTGTCAAACTTAGTACTTAAGGAAATTGGACATTTCATACTTAATAACCTAATATCTCTTCTCTATAAGTTGTATTCTCAGTGCCTGAAAGGGGCTTGGCACATAGGGTTTCTTAAGTATTTGTTGAATGAATGTGACCGAAGCTACTGTATACATACATAGTTTCTTCATAAGTAACAAGCCATTCTTAAACAATTTAGTAAGTTGAATTTACCACACCTTTCTTTTTCGAATAACATTGATTTTTCACACCAGGTTCATTAAAATTATTTAATGGGAGTATGGCTTTGGAAAATGAAGGTAGATTACTTCTAATAGAAAATTCCTTCAAATGATTGTGGCCTACACAGCTGTTTTCAGGTTTTTCCCTGCTGTGAAATGGCATGTATAGAAAAAATGCTAAGGTATTTTCACTTGCTATATAAATTATCAAAATACTTTAAACTTAACAAAGAATAAAATAATTGTCCAAGCATTTCTGTATTGCTGTGCAGTAAAAATAATAACATAATAGCTAATATATATTGAGCAGTGTATGTAGTACGCTATTCTAAATGCTTTACATGGATTAAGTCATTTACTTCTCACAACTCTGTCAATATGAGTACTGTTGTTATTTCCACTTTACAGATGAAAAAACTGAAAATAGTTAGATGTCCAAGTTCACACAACTAGTAAATGTATGTCCCTGGTAAATGTGTATATATATTTACTGATGTCTTTACCTCTGAATATTATAACTAATTTGATAATTCTTGTCTCTGGAATTACTTATAACGCATATCTTAATATGTACATTCACCAGTGTTCTTAAAGTCAGTCAGTGTTTATTGTCTGTATCTGTTGTATATACAAAAGAAATTGTTACTACCAAACTAAAGACAGCTTCACACAGATACATAAAGCAGTAAATATCTGTTTCTAATAGATCATTTCTCTTTAGTCGATGGAACACACCAAGAACTTGATGAAGTTAGTCTACTTACTGCTGTCACAGTATTTATTTTGTCTACCAGTCCAGAAGTAACTACCATCCCATGCCTTCAGAAGCGTTGTATAGAGAAATTTAAGGCTACTCTTGAGATAAAAGATCCTATGGTAAGTGTCTTTTAGCAAAGAGATGTTTGTAATAGGAATATGTTTAGGCTTTTGCAAAACTTTTCTTTGTGATTTTATTGGCTCCAAGAAGAAGTATCAGGCCGGGCGCAGT